GCATTCAGGTGCAATTAAGAAGAAGACAACTCTATCGCTGAGACGATACTTTTATTCGTCTGACGTTTCGAGGGAGGGAGGTAGGGGGGAGGGGGGACTGTAGTCAGAGACGTGATTTAAGCGAAATAGTCGCGCAGCCGTCTACCTCACTCTGAACCCTCAACCCGCTTGAAACCGTAACAAGACAGAGTCCAGATGACCGAACGGAATCAGGCGTAGGCCGCTTTCTCCCATACAGGCCAGAACATCGCCTAACTTGGCCTTAAGTGACAGTAGACTTTTGTACTGGTACTACCGCGCTATCTACCCTCACTTACCTTCAGCAGGTGTCAAGACAGACTCAAGGAAACCAAGACTGGCACTGCTACTACTGCTACTGCTATTACTATTATTACTAACTAGCAGTGCAGCTGAGTGATAGTAGTACTGGTACAATTACTGACGCTAATATTAGTCAGAAGTGGCTTCGATGAAAGTCAGCGCTGGGCTCATGCCCCCTCGATCTAAACGACGAGTGCGAATCTCGGATTATGCTATTCTCAGTAAATACATGTTTGAAACACAGAGCACAACAGGGCTTCCCTTGGTTTTCACCCACTCAGCTTTATCTGCCGGGCTGCGGCGGTTTCTGCTAAGTTTGGACTATGAGGACTAAAATACTGCCGTCAGTACTAATGCTAGTGATCAATCTTCCCGAGACAAGTAAATAGTATGCTATAATATGGCCTGTGTGTGCTTGTAGGCAGTCGGCAGTGCAGTATTTACCTCATCTTGATGTTTAGGGAACGTGTCTTGTCTAATAGGAGAGTAACGTGTTCCAGAATCAACTAACATTGGTTTGTCCTATACTATAACTGTGTCAGTATCCGAGTTATAAGCAATAAGCAAAGCAGATGGGACTATGAGCTAGCCCGATTTCTCGTCTTCACTTGGTAATTGTTTAAGGCGCCAGAGTTGTCCTACGAGCATGCGGTCTTTGTACCAGTTTGCAGATCAGCCGATA